ACTCAACATATGTCAATATGTTGAGTGTAAAATTTTGTCTTTTGAGCACAAGAAGTTTGTCTCCTGGTTGGAAGAAGTTGATTTTATTTTTAAAGTTTAATAAAGTTCTTATTTTTTTCATTAAATGTTTTGATGAATTATTATTTTACTTCCATTAAGTAAATTTAAAATTATTAAAACATTTATTTTCAAGTTGATAAAGTAACTTATTGAGTATTTATTGTTAGTTCGATCGTTACCAAGTTGTTATTATTATTATGTTTAACTAGTTACTTGGAAAACTGCTCTGTTTGTTAAGGTTTGTTTTTTGGAGTAATAGTCAAGAGATAGTGATAACAAGCAATAGTGAAAAGAAAAAAGAGCAGCTTCAATATCTTTTTTTCAATATATATATATATTTTCGATTTTATACTTATTTAATTGATAAAATTATCCCAAAAGTCTAATGTACTATGTCTTTACTTCCTCAACCTCAAGTTATTTGGCTATGCCCCTATTGACTATCATTAATTCACCGCTGTGTTCATTTATTCACTGTGTCCCATTACTGGGGTACAATGAATAACATAACATGACTCACTTTAAATCTTTCTGTGAGCCTCTCATTCATTTCGTGCCCCAACTTCCTCTATATATATATATATATATATATATATATATATATATATATATATATATATATATGTATATATACATCTAAACATATATATATAAATCTATACATATATATATATATATACATCTATATATATATATATATATATATATATATATATATATATATATATATATATATATATATATATATATATATTATATATATATAGAGGAAGTTGGGGCACGAAATGAATGAGAGGCTCACAGAAAGATTTAAAGTGAGTCATGTTATGTTATTCATTGTACCCCAGTAATGGGACACAGTGAATAAATGAACACAGCGGTGAATTAATGATAGTCAATAGGGGCATAGCCAAATAACTTGAGGTTGAGGAAGTAAAGACATAGTACATTAGACTTTTGGGATAATTTTATCAATTAAATAAGTATAAAATCGAAAATATATATATATATTGAAAAAAAGTAAAGTTATTAAAAGAAAAGCTAAACTACTCAAAGGAAGCATAAATATCAATAATCGGAATGAAAAATTTCAACTTTTGAATTTGTTTCAACTATGATCTTCATAAAAAATATAAGGACGGTTAGAAAATTTACTTTAGTTAGCTAAAAACAAAAATTACCTACCAAAAATGTGCATATCAGATGACTGATATGAGCACATACAACGATTACATTATCAAGATAAAAAATCTCTAATATTTGAAAAAACCCAGTCATTCACTGTGCTTCTTAATCCACTGTACCCCAACTCCAACTCCACCTATATATATATATATATATATATATATATATATATATATATATATATATATATATATATATATATATATATATATATATATATATATATATATATATATATATATATATATATATATATATATATATATATATAGGTGGAGTTGGAGTTGGAATACAGTGGATTAAGAGGCACAGTGAATAACTGGGTTTTTTCAAATATTAGAGATTTTTTATCTTATATATATGTATATATATATATATATATATATATATATATATATATATATATATATATACATATATATATATATATATATATATATATATATATATATATATATATATATATATATATATATATATATATATATACATGTCTTATGTCTTTTATTTCAAGTGATGAACTATTTAAATGCTTTATCTTAAATTTAGTATTTGCATTTTGACAAGCTAAAAAGATATTGAGATCAAGAAAGATGAAACGTTAGCATTGTCGTAAAAAAGATGATCCAGATTTGGCTTTTAACTAATCTTGGACTTATTGTGTTGTATGAACAATATGTATTATATGAGACATATCTACTCTAATGGACTTTTATTGAAATACCAAATTTTTATTAGTTTATATCGTATTAATAAACTGACAGAAACTTTAGTTTAAAATAGTTTACATTATTTTTTTATTATTTGTATTCCCTTTTTAAGAAGGTAAACATTGACTTATTTAAACTATATCTTTCGGCTAAATTAAGTCACCCCTGTTAGTTTAATTCTTGAATTTGTCTAAGTATTTGTCAGTCTTAAAAATTTTAAAATTTTTAAAAATTTTCAAAACAAACTAAAGTAACCTTATAATTGAGCAGCCGTGGCGCAGTGGTTAGAGTTCTGGCTCAGAACCCAGAGGTCCGAGGTTCGATGCTAGCTCCAGCCAACAAGCGACAATGGTACGGATTGAGGCGTGAACTTCCTCTTAAATGCTAACCCGCGGTGCTCTATGATAAGACTGTAAGGACTTCTGGGAGCACCTAAATACATACAAAATAAAAAAAAATAAGCAATCGCGAAGCAACGGTTAAAGGCTGGCCGAAAAGCCGCTGCTATGTATGGGCCATTTAACGGTGAGCATTACTTGGCATGG